TCTTGTATCTGTTAAGTGCAAAGAGAAAAAAAAAATTGCAGATACAGACAGGCTAAATACTACTGAATAAGAATGCATCTGCCAGATGTCTGGAAAACTAATCAGTTGTCTGTGTATATAGTGATATAGCAAACATGTCGTTTGAAAAACTCTTGCCATGCATTTTGTCTGAGGAACAGTTATAGGAAAAACCAATGTGCTTGTTCAGAGGCTATCTTGTGCAGAACGTTCTCATGGTTGCTATATCCCTGTGTGTTGAGATGTTGCATGATTGTCTACTCACATACTACTTTTCTGATTAAATGTTCAGATGAGAAACCCAAAGGCGTTGATGATGCAAACAACAAAGTTGATCGTATCATTTCAAGAAGGGATATGGCAACACAAATGAGCCCTGAGGGTAGCACCCCCTCTTCTTGTAGAGGAAGGTCCTCTTCTCCTCCCTCAACAGATCCTGTACTCGAGCCACAAAGTGACCATCCTGCTAAATTGGAAATCAGGGAAGTCCAGGTAGATAAAAGAGCCACCGTGATTAGGTGGTCCAAAAGGCCTGGTTCTCGCAGAATTAAGAGGGGACAGCCAGATGTCGAGGAATTCAATCCAAATGCTGCTGATGCTCACTCTTCATCTTGGGATATTTCACAGGAAGTATCAGACTTTTCAAAGTACGTTCCATTTGCATCATTTTGTTTCGCATATGGGCGGGGAACATAAATCTTGAAATCACACCACTGCTAGTCCATTCCGGTTTAGAAAGCCCTCCTCTGATTCCCAACATATATTTTGTACAAAAACAAGTGATTACAAAATTAGATTGGCTGTCGGCTTTACTGCCTAGTGAAAATATGTCATGACATGTATAGGATTGTTGGAGACCAGGTGAAGTTGACCATGGAAGCTGTGTTTTTTAAGATATCTAAAGAATTTTCCGATCAGCATGTGCACATTTTTGAGCTGTCATTTCCCCTGAAGCTTGCAGTTATAGGCAAACATGTTTTCTTTATCCTATTATTACTTTTCCAAATACCAACTGTTCTTGATGCAGGTTGCAAAGAGAGGAAGCCAAGATCACTGCATGGGAGAACTTGCAGAAAGCAAGAGCAGAGGCTGCAATACGAAAACTCGAGGTTATATAATTTGAAGTGGTCAACATAACTTGTCATAGATCATCAAGAATAATTAGGGAACTCTTCAGCACAGATTTTTCATTTAATTTCGTCATATGGTGCTAACTAATTACAACTCGTTCCTTCAGATGAAACTGGAAAAGAAGAGATCATCATCAATGGATAAAATAATGAACAAGCTAAGAATTGCTCAGATGAAAGCTGAAGAAATGAGAAGCTCGATGTCAATCAGGCAGGACCAACAAGTTTCCCAGAAATCCCACAAGATCAAGCTCTTCCATAAGCGTTCTCGTTTGACTTCCTTGGGTAGTTGCTTTACCTGCCATGCTTTTTAAATTTCTAGCACTGTTTCCAGTAGTGATGCATCCCTTTGTGCCAGGAAGCTCTTCCAGGAGTTTCCCAGTTCAAATTTTGTAAACCTCTTGCTATCTTCCTTTTTACAAATGATGTAGAAACTAGAAACTTGCAGACTTTCAAGTTCTTTTATCTTAAATTCCAGAAAGCGGACAGTACCAGAGACCTAATATGCCTGTTGGAACCAAGGAGGGGATAACATTCTTCAACCTATGTTTAATTAGTCGCCCCACACCGGCTATTTGATTTCTTTAAAATCCACCATAATTCAGCTCATAAATTGGCGGCAGCAACTTCATATCATGGGATCTCTATCACACAACTCTAGCCTTTCCTCAACGATTTTGGAAAGGATTCTCGCGTAGGAACCAATTGGACCTTTGATTTACATTTCAAAATTCTAGTCAAACCAGAGAGGCACACAAGGTTTCTTGCAGCAGTTATACAACCACAGCCGACAAAAGACTGCGAATAATTGAGACGAGGTAGATGGCTCGTATTTTGCCACGAGCTGGATAATTTTTCTACAACGCAAAAACAAATTACTCAAGTGCTGTTTTATATTTTCAACAAAACACCAAAAAAAAAAAAACCTAAGATGCGTTAGCATCCAAAAAAAACTAAAACTAATAATAATTATCAATTCTCAGAAATCAAAATGAAATAAAATGATAAAATGAAGAAAAAAAACAATAAAAAAAATTAAAAAACAAAATACCAGTAAAACCAAGTAAAGATGTCAAAATATAAAACTAAAGGAGAATTGATCAAGTATAAAACTATTAAAAACTTGGGTTGACTCATGTTCAATTAGCTTGAGAAAAATCTAGTCAAACATGTTAACTATTTCTTCTGTTTTTTTTTAAAATAGCATTATTTTGATTTTTTTTATAAAATAAAAAATTTTGATTAATTTAAGTTAACTTAAGTTAACTCACTCGACCCATGATCCAATTATTGTCCATGATTGACTCATGGACAAAGCTTATAAACAATAAGAAGAATCTAGGAGACCAAATCCTTATAATTAAAATTTTTAATGATGAAATAAAAAAATAAAAAAATAGCAATTAAGAGAATAAAAACCTTACTTAGAAAAAAAAATTGAGGACAAACAAAAATCTTAAATTGAAAGGAAAAATTGAAAACAAACTTAATGATGATGAATAAAAATTTAAAAAAAAAACAATGAAAAATGACTGAAACCAACCCAATTCAACCTTTATAATTTAGTAACATATATCATGAGATTGGATCACAACATAAAAATCTAATATGAAAAAATAACAATGTAAAATTCAAAATCAATCAAAATAATTAGGGATAAACTTTTAAAAATAAATTTAAAAAGAAAATGATTTTAAAAATGTATATTTAAAAAAAAAAGAAAATGATTTTAAAAATGTATATTTTAAAAAAAAAGGAACCAAATTTGACACAAAAATAAAATAAAATAAAATTATAAGAGATGAAATTGAAAAACAATTTCAATCTAGAAAAGGATTAGAACAATTAAAAATAATAATGCAAAGAATGACAACCATATTTGATATAAAAATAAAATATCAATGGATAAAATTCAAAGATATATTAATTCAATAAAAAATTCAAAACCAAATACATCATAATTAAGAATGAAGGTTATATCTAATATAAAAAGTGCAAATAGATGAATTTTTTTAAAAAAAAAACTTGATAAATAAATCGAGACCAGATATATTATAATTAAAAGAATGAGGACCAAATTAAAAATAATAATTCAAAGAATGACAACCATATTTGATATAAAAATAAAATGTCAATGGATAAAATTCAAAGACAAATTAACTCAATAAAAAATTCAAGATCATATACATTATAATTAAAAATGAGCACCATATCTAATATAAAAACTAGGTGCAAATGGATGAATTTGAAAAAAAAAACTTGATAAATAAATCAAGACTAGATACATTGTAATTATAAAAATAAAAACCAAATTTAACATAAAAATCAACTATAAACAAATAAAATTAAAAAAATTAAATTAATAAATAATTCAGGATCAAATATATTATAATTAAAAAAAATAAAAATCTAATTTAACTTAACAAACAAATAACTATACTTTTTTATTTTTTTGCAATGGACATCATGATTTTCTAAAAAGAGAGAGCAGAAAGGAAAAAGGAAGAGAAACCTCTCTTACCGAAGCTCTTCCACATGTCATCTCGGCACACGCACCTTGCCACCATGCTTGGGATAACGAAGAGCAACGAATGCCGTCTTAAAAGGCAAGGTTTAGTATTGTTTTAACATGATGTTGGTTTACGCGGCTGCGGCTGCGTTTTAATTAAAACGCAGTTTGCAGCCGTTTGGTAAAGAAAAAAATTGATTTACTGTATATGGGTCCCACACAGTTTTCACGATTGAAACGCAGTTAATAAAACGCAAAAGAAAAGCTATTTTTCATTTATTGTTCAAGTTACTTGCACTGCTCATACATTTTTTTGCACGCTTAAAAAATTATAAAAACTATAATTTATCAAATAAATTTTATACGTAATGGAATTATAAATTGTTTAATAAAATAAATAAAAAATATTTTATATAAAGTATTATTTATTTCATGATATAATAGGAGTAATTAATTCTATAATAGTTAAATTTAAAATCATCAATATTAATATATATTTTAAAAAATTATTTTATAACTTCAATTTCAAAAACATTTTTAACCAACACACATTAAACTATTTTTTCTTTAATTTTAATTGCAACCACAGTTTTAACCAAACACTTACTTTTTTAAACTAACCTCATCTAAAAATATTTTTTATAAAACAAATTTTTTCAAATTACAATTACAATATTTACCGCAACACCAAACATACTCTAACACTGCACATGCCAGCCGATTAGTATAAATGGCACCTCATGCCAATCATTTTTTAATACACACACATATACTCTTAATTATCCATGACCCCACCTAAAATATACAACAAAAATATATTATACTAATAAAAACACCGCTACATACAATTTTATCTTTTCAAAATCCAATGATAATCTTATATTTTCACGATTAATTTTTAAAGGATAAAAAAATCCCTCGATATATATACATTCCCCTCCTAAGATCATGACTATAACTTCATTGTTTAATTATTATTTTTTAAGACAAGAATTCCCTACCTAAAGGTTAAAAATCCATGCCCCATGCCCTACAGGGCAAATTAATATTTATACTACAATAATAAAAAAAATAAAAAAATACAAACAAACAAATCATTTTATTTCTAATCATTCTTTCAATGACAAATATAACCCATAAAAAAACAATCCAATCCTGCCCTCAATTGTATGCTAAGCTAGTTTTTTTTGGCAAGAACAATCTCATCTTTACACCATTTCAATATTCAATAAAATATTGAGCTGATTTAGTTTTTTTTTTTTTTTAATGTTACGAGTTAAAACAATTGTTTTCCAAATGTTAGACCAGCAATGTTATAATAATAATGACAATAAAGAACAGGATTGTCACAAGGAGAATTCCCATTCTTGACTACACGGCGCACAAATCCCACATCTTGTGGATTCCTTGCTACATCCTATTTAAGTACTTGCCAGCAGAATCAACATATAAAACAGTTCGGCACTTGATTCAAAAGTTCCGGATTCTCAGTAGCAGGAGAAAATGTCAACATTAAACAACTATAATATTATTTGAACAAACTTCAATCCACAAGATACACAACTAGCCTATGGGCAATCCTAGTTTTCCTGGGCCACAATTCTGTTTAGTAAGGCCTGTACCTCCAATCTGCTCTTGAAGACCTTGCACTCCCCATACCATAACCCCACTGCAAAAGGAATGTTTCGTAAATTGCTAGCTCTAAAAGAAACTCAGCTATCAAGCATTTTAATTCTTATGGGTATAGAGCACCATAAAAGGATTCAACAATCTTCAGACTTACTTTAGAAGGAACCATGTATGCACCCGCATCATCATAATCCAGGCTTCCATACATCCTGCCAAAGTTGCGCATGGGACCACCATAACCCCCAAAAGGTTCAGGAGCGCTCATCATGAAATTTCCACTTGGACCAGCATCATCAATAGGTGTGGCTGAATCTATTGCAACCTGCTCAGGAAATTACAGTCAAAAAGTCATGCTATGCAATAATTGAAGCCTCAGCTTTCTCCACGGGGCCAAATGTCCTTATTACCGAAGGTTTTACATGCATGCAAATGTACATCACAATGTCATGCCTAAAGATCAGAATCAAACACCACAACACACATCCATGTATCAATTATTCAAGAATCACGCTCCAAGATGTAATAGGCAAGACTCTTGATGCGTGCATTTACTGATAATTTGTTTTTTCAGGTATTAATAACAATAATTGGTTGACTGGTGTACAAAATACAACAGTCATAAAATCTAGCTTGCAAATTTCATATTTCTTTAACATACAAAAACTACTTTTCAGCATCTCACAAATCCAAAAATGTCAGTACCGCCTCCAACATAAAGAGCATAAAACCCTTCATTTGACTTATTAAGCATCAGAAATGCTTTCCCAATTCACACATCTTCATTAAAAAACCTTCAGAATATGAGCCCTTTCTGCTTACATCTTTTTTATTCTGAATGAAAAATCAATTATTAACAAACACTCTAGGTAAAGGGAATGTTCCAAGTAATACCTGATGTCCACAAATCTCATGAGATCTTCGAGATACACGATCTGCTACACCATCTTCAGCAAAGGTTACAAATCCAAAACCTCTATGGCCGCTTCTCTTGGGATCCTGCATCCATTAAGCATGCAAAGGTGGAATAATTGGATGAAATTCGCTCTGAACTGTGCTACAAAAAATATCCTTATCTTACCTTAGGAACATATGCGTCTATTATGTGGCCAAATCTACTAAAATACTGGCGCAAATCTTCAGTGCTTGCTTCCTGAGGAAGCCTTCCAACAAAGATCTTTTTGCCCATTCCTCTAGATGATTCCCCTCCTAATCCAGCAGGGAAAAAAAACACTGCATGATGAAAGAGTACTTGCTAATTTGCAAAAATTACCAATTTCCATTGGTACTTACTTCCATAGAATGGTCCAGGATGATCATATAAGGTGGGAGCACCAAGAGCTGCATATCTAGTAGCTGCAGAAATATAAGCATTGTATGCACCATATCCTCCAGGTGCTGTTCTTGCTATAGGCCTAAAGTCATCTTCCTGATAATATAACATTACACTGTTGATATTAACTGCATATCTATTTATTTAAATTTAAAGCATTCTTAAAATGTATTGGAAATGAGATATCCTGAGACTACAGGTGACAGTAATTGCAAGTCAAAAAAAATTTCCTTTCCAACCACAAGACAAAAGAAAGATAGCACAGCTGAAACTTGCCTTAGGCGTTGCTCGATCTACAACTACAGTAGAGCCTCCCAATTCATGAGTTTCAGCCATCAAGCTGTCCACAGAATCTGTAGCAACAGACAAGATCCATTTCAGTATTTTGCATTAAAGAAATATTCTTCAACATCCAGCACATCTCCATGAAGTTTTAGGAATCATTAAGGACATATTTGCTAGACAAACCACAAAAGATGAAAATCTCCATAAAGTAAACAAGTTCAATAGTTTGACAGGTCACTACACCACATAATCATACAAGTTTCTTGTGTAACATAGTAACCGAATTAAATGCAATGTACTGAGTCTTGATAGCACAAGGAAAAATAATCCTAAGGCACATTAATAGTATGACCTGCACTTGCATATGTGATGAACCCAATTCCCCGATGTGCTTTCGAGCTATGATCCTGCACAACATATTGATTGACAAAAATATAATGTTTCTAACCAGAGGAACAATTGCAAAAATATAATTCTGAAGACACAAAATGGCATGAATCAGAGTGTGGTCATCAGCACACACATGCAGAGATGCATGTAAATATGTTTGCTACATGCAATAATATAAAAAGAGAGAGCTTACTTTTGGCATGTATAGGTCAATTATCTCCCCATATTTCTCAAAGTGACTGCAAAAGGAAAAACATATCATGGCCTGCGTTCAATTCCATATCAAACTTCAGGAAACGTGTTTAGCATTGAAAGGAAACAAGTACACTGACCACCATCACACATATTTACCTTCGAAAAGTAGTTTCTGTCACAGATGGTGGAATCCTGGCCACAAATATCCTTGTGGCCTTTTTTGTTGGTGCTCGCATCTCCTCCTGCCAAAACAAAACACAAGACATGTTATCATATGAGAAAATATGTACCTGTAGAGTGTGCCTATATTGCAGTCTTATATATTAAGCAAAACAAAGGGAAATATCTCAAAACTTTTAACTAACAAGCCAATTCGTTCGAGATTTTTACAGCCAACCTTTGGAGTAGCCACTTTAATTTCCAGCATTCTTTTACCAAGAAAGTGTTCACCTGATAGTACAGCCTGCAGCCAACAAGATTTCAGCACACAGACAATCTTAAGCAGCAAAGAATTGAACAGAAATAAAGTCATAGGAAATACCTTAGCATCTTCAGCAGACACAAAAGTCACATATCCAAAACCACGAGATCGACCTGATGACCGCTCCTAAACATGGAAAAGTATAAAAGAACCACTGTCAATAATGAAAATATACTAACCAAATTGTGCTCTCTCAGACACTGATAGAAAATAAGTTGGTATGAGAAAAAACACTGCATAATACACATTGCAGAACAAGCTTGAAGAAGTCTCGATGTCCAAATATCATGCTATGTGTCTATTTTCATCTCTCCCTTTCTCCCATCTACAGCTTCTAATTGTAGCAAACAATTACTAATGGTATTTGATATTCATTCATGATAAGCTGCACCTTAAGAAAACAAGAAGAGCACTAAATACAGATAAAGAGTAATCTATCCAATCCAAAACAGTAGTTTGACCTCAGATGCTGTAGAAAGGTTTTAAAATATGCCCACTGGTCCAATGCGATGCCACAAAGTTTGTATAACTAGATTGAAACTAGAAGCTACCCCCACCTTCCTACACTATATGAACAGACAAAACTCTCTCTAGGGCTAATGTACATGATCAGATTAGTCCGCACTTCTGTTGTGCCTTCTAACACTGTGCCAGCCTTAGCATGTTAGCTTGCTAGTGATACTGATAGAATAGATTAGGGGCTTCTTGAAAGGCTAGGAAAGCAATGTACGATGAAATCCTGGTCCTCCTAAAAGAAATAGGATCTAGACGAAATATACCCTGTCTTCGATCTTAGAGGTCCTATGCATCGGTACTAAAGCCCCAACCATGGCTACTAATAAAATAAGACTAGGAACCAAAAACTAGATGAAATAACAGGTATAAACCGAATTTCCCAATGTTTCCACATTAGTCCAACTTTGTACATTTCCTACCATAAACTGGATATTTTAGAGAAGCCATCTTTCTTTGGGTTGGGATCCACTCATTATCCAAAATGAAATGCATACAGAAAATTGCTAGTATATGGACACAGCAAAGTCACACAAGGCATGTGGCCATAAAGTGAAAATCAACAGAAAAATTTCCACCCATAGCATCCAGCCATCCAAAAAAATAAAGTTTAGCAAACCTTTTAATACTAGTAGGATTGGATAAAATCGAACTTAAATAACAAACCTTTTAATACTGGTATGATTACATAAAATCAGATACGAGAATGACAGGGCCAGTAATAATTACAGCCCACAATATAAGATTAGCCACGGATTCGGAAGAGAGAAAGGAAAAAAAAAGAAGAAGAGAGAGAAGCATAAGCATAAAGCTTGTACATTTGGGTGGGGAAAAAAGAGGCTAACCTTCATAACAATACAATCCTCTAATTCACCAAACTTGCTCATGTATTCTCTCAGACCCTCGGTATCAATTTCCCATGGAATACCCAGAATCTACATCTCCAATGCGACACATAATAATAATAATAATAATAATAAGATTCAAACTTTATAAATTTGCATGACTTAAAACAATTAACTAACCACAAGCTTTTGGCTCATTTGAAACGAGTCGAAAGCAGAATCCCTTGCAGTTTGGTGAAGAAAAGGAAGGAAAGAGAAACCCTAAAATTGAAACTGATAATCTTAGCTCTCTCTCACAGCTCTCTTAGAAGACTCAAAAGAAACAGAAGAAGGAAATCTTAGCTCTCTATCTCTCCTCTCGCTGTCGTGGGTGGTCGCTCCTGCACATAACAAGCATACAATAACCTCTTTCTCACGATTAAACATCACCATTTCCTCTTCTGCTAAAACAACCATAAATTTTCCACATAAAAATAAAGAAGAAAATCAAGAGAATTTACACGCTCACTGACCTGGGTCTTGATTCTCAAAACCCTAATATTTCAGATCTCCTCTCCTCTTTCCCTCCCTGAGTGACCCTCCTCTCTCCCTCTCTCTATATCTCTCGCACGCGCCTAAAGATTCCACAGCTTTCGGATCGAATAATAATAATAATAATAATAAATCCTTAGTTTTTTATTTTTTTATTGGGTATTAATGAAATAGCATTAACATATTTATAAAATAAATATATTTGATAGTATTATAATTATAAATTAATATTAAATAAATAATAAAAATTAAAAAGATGATAAAATTAATATTTTATGATAGAAAAAAAATTATATTAGTGATTAAAAATTTAGAAACTGAACAAAATAACTTATAGCTATCCATAATGTTTTATAATGAAAAATATATTGTTTTTGCTATATAATTTAATTTTTTTATTAATAAAAAGTACAAAAAAAACATTACAAAGTTAATTTTTTTATCACTTTAATATTAAAAAAAATCAACAAAGATAATTTTAGAAGAAAAAACCCATGAGAAAAAACATTGTAGTAATTAATAATGTTTTGTAAGGAAAAATATATTGTTTTCTCCAATAAAATCTATGAAGATAATTTTAAAAAAATTATAAAAAAATCATTTAAATAAATATTGTAACAATTCACAGTTTTTTGTGAGCAAAGCTACAATGTTTTTCCTATATGATGTAGCTTTATTATAATTATAATTTTTAACCAACTCAATATTTAAAAAAAAAAAATTGAAAAAAATCATATGGAAAAACACTTCAACAATTCACAATGTTTTAAAGAGGAAAAAAAATTACAAAGCTAAATTCTCACTAAACTCAATATTAAAAAAAAATCAACAGATAATTTTAGAAAAAATAACCAAAAAAAAAAAATCACGTTGGAAACACTGTAGCAATTCATAGTATTTTGTGATGAAATCTACAATGCTTCCTCACATGATTTAACCTTATTTGTAATGATTTATAATTATAATTCTCAACCAGCTCAATATTAAAAAAATAAAATTGATAAAGATAATTTTAAAAAAATCATAAGAAAAAAAAACTATTGAGAAACACTCTAGCAATTCACAATGTTTTGTGAGGAAAGCTACAATATTTTTCCCACATGATTAAGTTTTATCTAATCAACTTAATATTAAAAAAATAAATGTGAAAAAGATAATTTAAAAAAAAATATTACAAAAAAAGAAAACACAAAAGAAACTGGAAAAAAATCATGTTGGAAAAAACAATATAGCAATTTACAATAATTTACAAGGAAAGTTACAGTATTTTTCTCACATGTTGCAACTTTAATTTTTAACCAGCTCAATATTAAAAAATAAAATAAAAAAGATAATTTTAGAGAAAATCATCAAAAAAACAAAAACAAAAACAAAATCATGCAAAGAAATACTGTAGCAATCAATAATGTTTTTTAAAAAATTACAAAACTAAATTCTCAATCAACTTAATATTAAAAAAATACAATCAACAAAAATAATTTTAAAAAATAAAAAAATAAAATAGAAAAACTATATGGAAAAATATCTTAGTAATTTACAATATTTTAAAGGAAAAAAAATTTAAAAATAAAATTTTTAACCAACTCAATATTAAAAAAGTAAAATCAACAAAGATAATTAAAAAAAAAGATGAAAATTAAGAAAGAAAAAAGTAATTTTGAAAAAAAAAAAAAAGAAAGAGAGAGAAAAAAGTAATTTTGAAAAAAAAAAAAAGAGAAAAAAGCACTGTGAATTACTGTTATAATCCACGGTGCATTTGTGAGTGAACAAAGAATCATCCACACCCTTTACCTGTTACTTAATTAGCCCCTCCCACCGCTAGGCCAGAACCTAACTTGCAACCTGTTACTTAATTATTCATGGGAGTGGAGGTCAAGCTTTAGTTTAATTGTATGGACCTAGTTATGAGCTAATTGTATATGCTTGCGATGGTATTTGGTAAGTCTATAAGCTGAAACCCATGACCTAATATGATCTCTATAGGCTAAAAAAAAAAAAGAAATAAGTTTTTTATATATATATTTTGGCATGACTTTTTAACTATGATTTTTAATAATTTAGAATTTATTTTTTATAAAAAATAAATTAAAATAATTTTAATTTAGAAGCATGTTTGGTTAAAACTAACTTTTTTTTTAAAGAATATATGTAAGTTAGGATTCATAATCAAAAGTTTTAACTTTTGACTAAATCAAAATTTTGCAACAATTTCGGTTAAAATTTATTTCCAAATAATTATTTATAAATTAAAACTTAAGAAAAACTTAAATTAATTTGTAAAAATTATACCAAATATAACCTAAATTAATTCAATTGTTTTTTCTTTAAATCATCATTTGATCGTTAAACAATAAGAGAGAGATGTTAGGAAATTTGCTAACTAAGAATTTTTTCTCTTTTTTATTTAATTAATTTTAGTGGGCACACCATCGATATAAATTTTTAGATGGTGATTATTTTTATTAAATTGACAAATAACTTTTTATATGCAAACCTTTGTATAAAAGAACTTTAACCCAAGACAATACATCCATTTAACTCTAAATGGTTGTTTAGTAATATGACCACATGTAAGGTTAAGAGTAAGCCATAAAAATATATGTTTGGTTAAGTTAAAACTCAATTTTATTTTAGTGGGATCCATCATAAATTAAGGCTGTATCTAAGATTTAACAAAAGCAAAAAAGTTGAGCTTTGTAAATAGTAGATCACCTTAGTTTTTTAATTATCCATTGACAAAACCAATTTAGCCACAAAAATATATATTTTTGAAGAGAAAAAAACTCATTGGAGGAATATGAAACTTCCCAAAACCTCAACTATTCTACTAGAAAGTATAAGAGAAAGAAAAAAGGAAAAAGAGCAGAAACAAATGAAAAATAAGGACTGTTGTCCATCTGCCAAGCAACTCCTTCAAGTCTTCATCATTTCAACTGCCAAGCAGACATTATTGCCACACATAATAACTTGCTTTTTTTCTTTTTCTTCTCTTTCTCCTTCTTCTTCTTTTTTTGTGTATTTTCCTGTTTGCATTGTTCTGTAAAGTGAACAGTGGAAAATATTTTCACTGTTCAGGGGTCGAACCAGGTCCGGCCCAAACCTAAATATATTAGACCGGTTCTGACCTAGTAAAATAAAAAATTCCAAACAAATTTTATAAGATATTGTGTTTTATTCAAAAAACTAGTGTTTAATATTATTCAAGGGCACTATATAATTACATCAGAAGAAAATCGCATGATAACATATCATTTGCAGAATTTCATCGCAATTTCAATTTTGTTCATGATAATATTTTACCTAATGTTATTGTACTCGTAGGAAGTTATGGGAACTGCAATCCTTTTCAGATGAATTTCGTACGTGATAGAATTGCAGATAGTTTAATGAAACAATAAAAAATATTTATATAAAGTATTATTTATTTCATGATATAATAACAGTAGTTAAATCTATAATATTTTAATTAAAAACCATCAATATTAATATATGTTTTTTTAGTTATTTTATAACATCAATTTGAAAAGTATTATTAACCAAACATATTAAACTACTTTTTGTTTAACCACAATTTTAACCAAACATGTATTTTACCGAACCAACTTCAACTAAATGTACTTTTTTAAAAATATTTTTTTTCACATCACAACCACAAAAGCTACCACAATATCAAACGCATCTTAAATCTGATACAATACAAAGGTTGTGCATCTAACATAACTCTTTAGGCTAATGACGAGTAAATAACAAGAAGTTTGTCTATAAAATCCAACCTTAAGAAACTGGAAATTAAAATAAAAATAATTAAAAATAAAAGGGATCAGGTTTCATTATGCACTAAGATATAATTTATTATTGATTGAAATAATAAAATTATATTTTTACCCTTCTCAACCAAAATAATTTAACAAATTATTAAGGGCAAAATGATTACTTTGATGGGGTCTATTTGTCAGTTATACATTGATGATAGACAAATCAATCATTTTGTTTTTTGGTTGCATAATGAAATATTTTAAATACTCTTAAATGCGAAAACTCTAAGGTTATGGTCCAAGGGTTTTTTAATCTTTTAACTTTTTATATGTATAGTTAAATGACTACATTAACTTTAAAAGCTAAAAAAATAAACTTGACATCTAGAGGCTTTTTTTCATCGTTTCATCATGGCTTTTTAGTTATTATCAATTTGATTGAGGAACACTTTAGACTTTTAATAAATTAAATATATTTTAAAAAACAAAACATTTGAGTGTGAGACGCAGGTGCTATTTGGGAGGAAGATGCAGCACCTCTTAGTGGTTAAAAGTCATTTTCCATAATGATGTTGAAAATGACACACTCCTTTTCCCAATGATTAGGTGCTTGTGCTTGATAGAGTAACGATTAGGCTCTAATGAACTGTTTTCTTTTTTCCCCTCTTTTCCCTTTCATAGCCTTGAATTTCCACCGATGCTTCTAGATATCAATTGTGTTCTCTAGTTTTATATTAATTTTGGTATTTATTTATTTGATTACTATTTGTTTTGCTTTTAATGATTTTTAAAATTTATTTTTTTAATTTCATCTCTATGCATTTTATTTCATTATAGTTTTCATCTAATTTGATCCTCATTCTGTTGATTGTTATTCTTTTTATCATTTTCTTAATTTATTTTATTTTCAATTTAGTTCCTTCATTATTTTCTTTCATTTAGGTTTTATACTAGATTCGGTTTTTATTGTTTTGATTGCTATTTTTTTTATGATTAGAAATTTTGCTTTGTGATTTTTTTTTGTGTTTTTCTTCTATGAGGTAATCTCGGTCCCAAAACCTAAATTACTAGTTTTGAAAATTAACTCGAATTAACTTCCATCTTTTAAAAAAAAAATTAATTTTTTTATCAATTTTATAATTCAAAACTAGGTTATTGGGCTTTGAGCTTTGTGATTCTTTCTACTTTATTTTTTATGAGGTTATCTTGATCTGATAACCCAAGTTGGATCGGGTTTTTCTTTTTAACATTTATTTTTTAAAAATAATTTTTTTATTCCATGTTTTTATATTAGGTTATTGGGCTATGAGTTTTGTGATTTTTTTTCTCTTTTCTTTTTATGAAATTATCCTAATCTCATATTTCAAGTTGCGGGTTAGTCAAGTTAACATGAGTTGACTTGATTTTTTTCTTTAAATTTTACCAAGTTAACATGAGTTGACTTGATTTTTTTTCTTTAAATTTTACCTTTCATTATTTAGTTTACTTAAGAGTTGAACTCTATTATTTTATTCAATTTTTTTTATACAAGGATATCATAGTCTTAAGACAAAATCATGAATATGATATGTTGACTCGAGTTAGATTTTTTTATCCTTTTTACATTTTGTTTCTAGTTCATCCTACTATGTTTGATTTACTAGTAAATGAGCTTTGAATTTTATTCACTTTCTTCTTAGTGATGTTATCTTATTCTCATTTAATTTTTTCTTTGTTATTAAATAAAATTGATAAGACCTCTTTAGAATATTTATAGGGTATTATTTCATAATATTGACAAGTGTTCATTTTTTTTAATGGTCATTAGAGTTTTTTTTTGGTTTTTTTAGTTGTTTGCTTTTTTTTTAATTATGTTATTAAATTAATCGAGATTATCATACTCATTTGAATCAATAACTTGGATCCTAAATTTTTCTCATTTTTTTAAAAATATTATAATCATCTTAACATCATTTTTTACATTAGAAAAAATTTGATTCAACTTGCAAGGTAGCGTGGGCCATAAATCTAATCAAGCTTATTATCAGTAGTATTTATAATATATATCTAATTTTGTAGCACTAAGGTGAATAGTTATGGAAGAAGTAAACTTAGCTAAAATTAAAGGTAAGTTTTCAACTTGTTTTCTAACAGTATCATTTTTATTTTTCAAATCTTCGAATGATGATGAATAACTAGCAATACAACATAATGATTCATTTACTTATGTTAATTTATCATATTTTTCAAGCAAATCATTATTTTTATTTTTTAGATTTTCTTGAATCTTTTTCAATGAACTATATATAGATCCTAACTTATTAAATTTATCATATAAAGACTTAAAAGCATTATATAACTTTATTATAAGAAAGGATGCATTCATCATCCAAAGATTGTATTTCCTTTTTGCTTTTAATGGCTATAAAACACATGTTTGCCATATGCTTTTCTTCATCACTAGAGCTAGAATATGAATCATCACTTTATATAGTTTTCATTGCTCTCTTGTTATGATGATTATGTTTTTTGTTTTAAAGAAATGGACAATCTACTTTGATGTGTCCTTTGTTATTGCATTTAAAGCAATACAAAAATTCCTTGCTTTAATCTTTTTTATTCACATCTTTCTTGAAATTTGAGAATCTTTTGTCTTTTTTTTTTAAGATGTCTCATAATTGTCTTATGATTAGTAAAATATCCTCCTCAATTTTATCATCATCATCATCATCATGGTTTTTAACATGATGTATAGTTTTGAATGCCAAATTTTCTTTGGCTTTTCTTTTTGTTCATGTTTTTCCATTGTAATTTCATATGTCATCAAATAATTGATGAGTTTCTTCAATGAAAGTTTGATGAGATACTTGATTTTTCAAATTGCTATCACCTTAATTTTCTAAATTTTTAGCGATGACATAAAATTTTTACTTATGATATTGACACTAATGCAAGTCCTACTAAGAGCATCTAAAGTATTACTAATAGTAGTAATTTTAATAAAAGTACTAGTAATGGATTCATTTGAAAGCATTTTAAAAAATTTATATTGATGTACATTCATATTTATTTTATATTTTTTAACTTGATTTATATCTTTATAAATAATATCTAAAGCATGCAAAATATCCCTAAAGATGATATCCTATTAAACTCTTATATTCGTAGCACAATATAAAATGATAATAGCTTTAGAATCTATGGAGAATAACTTTTTGACTCCATTGGCATACTCACTCCTAGTCTGCTATCTTCAATCTTTTTGTGTCTATAAGATCTATTTTTTTATAGATAGTAGATTGAAGGTAAATCATCATCCTAGTTTTTCAATAAGCATTATTATTTTCATCAAATAAAGGTGGTTTAAAGGTAGACGATCTCATTCTACGCAAGTCTAATCCACTAAAAAATAATATAAAAATAAACTTTTCTGCTACACTTTGGCAAGTCAAACCCAGCCACCCATCTTCCCCAAGTTTTTTCTCAATCTCACACATCTCCCCTTCTCTGGTTTCTGTCTGTTCTTAGTCTTTTCCAGTTTTAAGTGTCGGAGTCTCGATTAAAAACAAAGGTATCTAGCAATCTTTTAAGGTATATCTTTCTTTATTTTGGTCAATTCCATTCCTAAATCTCCATTTCCCGTTAGGCCAATCTCATGGGAACACTTTGTTTAAAGCTCTGAAACCTATCAAATTGAAGCTATCAAGCTTTGTTTCCATGGCCATCCACTATGCCGGTCTGCTCACTCTTCCTTTCTACCAGTGTTTTATTTATTAGCGGGAGCGCGCTGAAACCTATCAAATTGAAGCTATCAAGCTTTTTTTCCATGGCCATCCACTACGCCGGTCTGCTCACTCTTCCTTCCTACCAGTGTTTTATTTATTTATTTATTAGCGTGAGCGCGCGCTTCTATATTATTTTAGAAAAAATAATAATATTTTTTTAAGCTATTACTCCTATTATTTAGGTTGGGGATAATATGCTATTTCTAGATTAGAATGAAGTGATTCGCAGCAGGGAATCCAACACTCAATAGTTTCATTGAATAGGTTGTTCCCGATTCCTTACTTCAATTAACCGAAATTGATCGGTTTTTTATTTTTAATTTGATGATTCGCAGCAGGGAATCCAACACTCAATAGTTTCATTGAATAGGTTGTTCCCGATTCCTTACTTCAATTAACCGAAATTGATCGGTTTTTTTTTTAATTTAAAAATAAAAATTCTCAGTTTATTTATTAATAAAAATAGAACAAAAAAAAAATGTTCACCCATGACAGATAGCTAGCTGAGCTATAGTATTCTAGAGAGAGGATAGGTCAAAGGTGTCTGTTATATCGGTTATACATAATAAGGCTTTTGTCTACTGCAGAGGGCTCAGGTCTCCATAAAAAATGCGAGGTATATGCTTGTGTCTTAGCCTGTACCATGTAATAAATTAACTTTAATTTTTTGAAGATGTTAAAAATTTATTATCATAGCACCTATAATTTTAAAGAGTTGAAGGGGGAAAAAAAATGCTAGAACCTCTATTCAATAATTTCATAAAGAATCAAAGATAAGCAAGTACCATCTAATAATTATAAAAGTTATATTGAAAAAATTCTAAAAAATATAATTTAATTAATCAGAATTTAAATTTATTTCTAAAGATCACCCATTTAAATATTATAAATTTTAAAATTTCTAAAATTTACTTGATTATTAATTTAAAAATCTTAAAGAATTAATTGAGGTGTCACAATCACCTCTTGGTTTTATTTTGATCATAAGAAGATACTATAAATTTATTGTCATAAATACAAACTAATTTACAATTCATATGTTGAAAAGAATGTATATATGAAGAACGATTACTATTTCTTTCAATCAACTTCTCTGAAGTAATAAACCATCAGCCATGATCAATCTTTTGTTGCATCCGAATTAGAGACACTTCCAAATTTTGGGTCTTGAAGACGATGGTATATAGTATCAGGTCCCAACCGTGTTAAATTAACGTAATCTTGTGGATTGTGAGCTGACAAACCTGGGAGTATCAGTCCATACCATCTAACCAGTATCAGCAACCAAGGTTCTTTATAATCGGCCCCCTTTCTGTAGGGTAAAATGAAGCTTCTTACTAGCTCCCATAATGCATTTAGAAACCTCGGTATAGCAGCGAACACCGATATATAGTTCTTGTGTGGTTCCTCTGAAACTATCTGCATTGAAAGGACTCACGTTCATGAACATTTCAAGGCAGCACAACAAAGATGAATTTTAACAGTATTGCCAAGTTTCATTGCAAATTATTATTGGTGGATGCCACATTTGTGTAATTCTTTTTTTGAGCTTACTGTTGGTAAAATTGTGAAGCATTTATGACGGTAATGCTGACATGGAATGCCATAAAACACGAACAACAATATGATAATTTCTCGAAAAGACATCGTGCCCTATGTTTAGAGTGATATTTCTTCTTCTTAAAGGGAAAAAAAAAGCAGCTGCAACATTCAAAATAATGCTAAAAATCAGTCTTGTTATAGCTGGTGTAGTGGCGAACGTGCATAATTGTGTATATGTTGATGCTTGCATGAAGAGGTTTCAGCATTTTACCTTCCCATAATAACAGCTATTATAGTAGACGCATGTACCAAAATGCTTGAAAAGAAATGTCGAATCATCTATGGGCAACCTGGTAATCACATCATTACAATAAACGAATCTGAAGTACTTAAACCCGTGCTTTTGCATCTGCCTCTCCATGAAACTCTTGAATTCCCCATCTCCAACTCTTGGCTGACCAAATGTATACACGCCTTCCAGCCTGTCTAATAACGTTGTCTCTTCATGCATTGCTAGAACAGCTGGGAAGAGAATTGCAATTGCGCCACCCATGCTGTGACCAGTCAATATAAATTTTGTCTTTTCGTTTTGTTTAAGAAGTTCTTTCAATTTCTCTCTTATAGTGTAGTAAGCTATCGGTTGGCCATCGGCGCGTTGTTTAAATTCCCGAGGCCAGCCTTGGGTCATTGATAAACCTAATGCTTTCATAAAGCCACCATGAATTTTTCCTATGCCAGGAAACTCATACCAGGAGATATCAAAATCAGTACACCATGCATCCGCATCAAAGGCTTCCGTACCTCTAAAGGCCACGACAATTATGTCAGGGTCTGCATTTTTATCATGAAGCATGAAGCCTTGTGTTGTAAGTTTTTGTTGAAAATCTGCAGACACACCATTGATCGTTGTTATCTAGTGATTTGCGACGAGAAAAAAAAATGAAGGTTTTGTCTGCATTTGATCAAGGTTAATGGAGAAAAAGGAAGTTCAAAGATGCTGGAGGAAAGGAACTTGTGCAAAATGGTTAGAATAAGATGATGATGAAGAAAGTTTTGGACAGTCATCAGTGAAAATGTGATCAGGTGATCATGGATCTTGTCCAGTTATGGATGGAAGTTCTCACATACACGCATGTATGACTGTCGAAATAATTTTCCCAATAAGATTGTTTCTTACCATTCCAAAAATCATAGTATCCAATTAATTCCATCTGCAAAAACAACTGTAATCATTAGTTAATTCATGGATTGACGGGTCTGTGGAAGGAGTTGCAGCATAAAATTTAATAGTTTTCACACCATTTACCTTCCAGTGATTTCTAACAGCGTTTTCGACAAAGGCTTTGTTCTCATAAGCTACCTTTGCAGCCATTACAGAGAGTGCACTGTAGTATCTGCTATCACCATGCTTGATATTCTTGTCTAAATCCACACGCTTGTCTAAATGTCCAGCAAATGATAAGAAAGTTTTTGATTCCTTAACTGGTCTTTCCACCCTACCTGCACATGAT